TAAGCACAGTTTGTTCCAGGGCCAGCCAGGAGCTTCCCAGAAACTTTAGAATGATCGTTAAGCGTGCAAAGCAGGCTAGGAGACTGGGCTAGTTGCCTAGGAAGCCTGGTCAAGAGGACCCTGGAGAAAATGGATTGGGTCATCAAGATCAACAACCTCAAGCCGTTTCATGGAATTTCTAGGTATTTAAGGCCAATTCTCTAGTGGCTAAGATGAGTTAGACTTGCCTGCTGGTCTAGGCACCTAACAGGTATAAACTAGATTTCTGTGTAACTCAAACCCAGGGTAGACTCTCTAAAGACCATGAAACAATAAATTCTCTACTTAATGAATCTTGAATTGGCCAGAATAATTCACAGCTGCTAAGGAAATTAGGCTGGTATGACCAGCAAGGTAGGGCAGCCAGATAAATACTCACTGAAGCAAATGACAAGGCAATAAAGAGGTTCAAGGAGCAGTAGCTTCTCATTCCATCAGCATGATTTCACATGGCATTTCTGAGCAATGATTTGTACTCTGAAGTACAAATTTTATTTTTCCATTATTACTTCAAAATGCCTCAGCTAATACACACGGAAACAAGGCCAGTGAGTTTTTAAAATATTCCGATGTCAGGGACTGGCATTGTGGTGCAGCAGACTAAGTCACTGCCTGTGGCACTGGCATCCCATATCAGAGAGCCATTTTGAGTACTGCCTGCTCCATTTCTGATCCAGCTCCCTACTAATGCGCCTGGCAGAGCAGTGGAAGATGGCCCAAATCCTTGGGTTCCCAGTATCCATGTTGGAGATTTGGATGGAGTTTGAGACTTAAGTCTTTGACCTGACCTGGGCCCATCTGTTGACGCCATTTGAGGAGTAAATCAGCAGACTGAACATCTCTGTCACTCTTTCAAATAAATCTTTGAAAAAATATTTTAGAGTCAGGAAATTAAGGCTAACAAGAAAAAAACCGTGAGAAGTGTTCAAAATGTAACTGGAAAATGCTTATCGTGTAAATCTGTGAATTTAAAAAATTTGTTTGCAAAGATTATTTTCAATTTTTTCACAGACTTCTTGAAGTACCCTCATATATGTAATATTTTCATTCCTGCCTCTTAGATCGTCAGCAACTTTTTCCTAAAGGTTATTACACAAAATATAAGGACCATGAGTAGATTAGTCCCATCATTTTTGGATTTTATTTATTCACCCAGTACATTCTCTTTGTGGTTATTATCAAAATATCTTTATTACCTAATAGAACATTTTCAACTTCTCTCTACTCTTCTGCAGTATACAGCTTTTCATTCTAATCTGCTATATAAATAAAGTTGAACGTCCTGATCTAACTATGTAAGAAGAAACACTTTTCCTTTATATAGGTGGAAAATCTACATTTCAAAAACAGCTTTTTATTTCAATTCTGAGAAACTAGCTCACCTACAATAAAGGCTCCGGGGCTACCAGACCAATCCTATTCCATCCCTACTCCTTCCGCCTCACTCACTCCCATGGGAAGTGAGGGTCCTGCCAGTCCCTGTACTTGCTGGGTTTACTCGCACCTGTCTCATCTCATGGCCGGCTTTCCCCAGGCCGTCCCCAGCACTCCATGTTCTCCTTTCTTGCTTTGGGGAAGAAGCTTTCCTTTGGGTAATTTTCAACATACGGGAAACCAGAATTCCCCAGGCAATACCATGCTTCCTACAATTCTCTCTCATCTATTCCTAACTCTTTAAGAAATGACGAAAAGGAAATGGGTAAAGAGAACAGAAGAGTTAACCAAAGCTAGCCTTCTTTCCAACCTCCAGCCCTACCGGTAGACATCACACTGCCTATAACCTCATCACCCCTTACTTTTGTCATTCCCAACATCAATCTAAAATCGCTGAACTCTTTCCATACCAGTAACAGCACTAGTTCACAGGAAATCATCTTAATGAACTCTTCTTGATCACAAGATCAAGAATTTGAATGTTGTCTTCTTGAATATCTTATGGTCTTTGCTTTCTAACAAAATTTCCAATATTTGCTTTTTCAAATTCAAAGTTTGTGCAAAGCCAGAGGAAAACACAAAACCATTCTTATTCAGATCTGAAAAACAAAGCCGATCCTCACCTTCACACAGCAACTCTTATTTCCAATGTACTTTAAAGCTAATTCCTACACATTTTTAATCTCCTTTTATAACAGGCTCCTGATTTTCCATTCTTTTACCCTCATTCTCAAACAATAATGCATTCTAATATTATCCCTTCATCTATTCGCATTTTCTGTCATCTCACTTTGTCTTTCCCTGATCTTCTCATTGCTGTTCGAACTTAAAGAAAGACATATCCCACCTCTCTAATGCTAAACCCATGACTACCTTGGGAGCTTCTCACTGTCTGCCACTAAATTAGCCTATTTTCTCCTCAGTCTCTCAATTGGGTCTCTGCTCAGCCTTTGCATATTAGGTCTCTTCCTCTTATTAAAGCAATGCCAAGCTCTACCACCCAACTAGTTACTAACTTCTTTTTCTCCTCACATTTGTTGCCAAATGTTGTGTTTTTTTTTTTTACAGGCAGAGTGGACAGTGAGAGAGGGAGAGATAGAGACAAAGGTCTTCCTTTGCCGTTGGTTCACCCTCCAATGGCCGCCGCGGTTGACGCGCTGCTGCCGGCGCACCGCACTGATCCGATGGCAGGAGCCAGGTACTCATCCTGGTCTCCCATGGGGTGCAGGGCCCAAGCACTTGGGCCATCCTCCACTGCACTCACGGGCCACAGCAGAGAGCTGGCCTGGAAGAGGGGCAACCGGGACAGAATCCGGCGCCCCGACCGGGACTAGAACCCGGTGTGCTGGCGCCGCAAGGCGGAGGGTTAGCCTATTGAGCCGCGGCGCCAGCCTGCCAAATGTCTTAAATAAGAAGTCAGCAATTGCTACAAACATATCTTTCACATTTCCTTATTAATTCTATGAATCTGGCTTCCATTCTATAGCCTTTTATGTAAATCACCTTTTTAAAGATCATCAGCAACTTGGCCAAACCTAAAAGCTTTTTCATTTCTAATTCATAATTTCTTTTCTAACAATTACTAGTATAGTGCAGGCCAATTTATTTGCATGAACCAGCAATGGCAGACTAAAACTGCCTTTAAATTGGTCCAAACTGTGATAATATGTTACAAAACCACTCTTCTTAAAATGCTACAATCAAGTTACATCTCTGCCCAAGAACCTAAAATTCTCTGCCACTGATCACATCCACACCAAGACTATGCTCTTCTGAATTTTCGAGACGTTAGGAACAATTATCCCAGCTTACCTATAGGACCTGCATACTTAGCTATCTCATTACTGTTCTTCCCTCCCCACTCCTACAGACTGTGCTCATTTCTACCTCTGTCCCCTTTACTGTACAATGTTTCCCTATATTCATCTAAATCGAAGCCATCTTTTAAAAATCAAAATGGCTCACATCTAGCAACAGGTGTTCAGCATAGTGTTGAGATGCCAGTTGACACTCGTTTCCTCCATCGGAGTACCTAGGTTCAGCATCTTGCTCCAGTTCCTGGCTCCAACTCCAGACTTGGGGAGGCAGCGGTGATGACGCAGGTGACTGGGTTCCTGCCACCCATATGGGATACCTGAACTGAGTTTCAGCTCTTGGCTTTGGCCTCAGTCTAGTCCTGGCCACTGTGGGCATCTGAGTAGTGTATCAGCACAGGGAAGTCTAATACATACACACACACACATTTACATGTATGTATATTTATCTCTCTCAAATTAAAAAAAAAATTCCACACACTTACTTTACAGCCTGTCTTTATACCAGCTGATAGCAACTTCTTTCTCTAACTCCTATCTTCACTTTATCTGATTTGTTCATTAAACATTTCATGTGTGGTTGCCTGGATCAATTACTGTCATTTATCCAGCAGAGAGAGGCATATAATAGGTACTCATTCAGATAGACATACAGCACTAAGAACAAAAAAGACTAGTTTAGCACCAGCCAATTTGAACTTGGCCAATTCTGTAGAATAAAGACATATATATTATTGTTTTCAATTACTGCTTTGTAAGGTAATTAAAATATGAAAGGTTCTATTTTTTACTTGTATGGTGATCTGTTAGGGACAATTAAGAAGAATGGGAAAATTTTATGGTCAGACAAGAAAAAAAGCCTAAAATTTACAACTCAACATAGGCTAAGTGTCTCCCAGTTTACTTGGAAGCATAAAAAGCACCAGTGGTCTTCATTTTGTAAAATTTTAACACATTTCCAATTTGTCCTTTTTTCTTGATTTTCTGAGAAAATGCCTGTGTGGGAATGCCTCCCTATGGACTTGTGTCACAGCACAAAAACACTCTGGCTGTATCTTAAAAACAGGAGCCATCTTGCTAGAAATGTACACAGACAAACGCATCGAAGTTGCTTGCTAAAGGAGCCCATATGTAGAAGGCCCCACTAAACTCCCGGGGTGTTAAATGAAGAGTAAGAGAAATGAACATACATATGCATACATTAGAATAAATGAATGTATATCTTTCCTGTTAAGGTTTTTTTCAACTCCCTCCAAATTATTATGTATTTTAAAAACTGAAATAAAAGTATTCAATACCCTGTTGTTGCCATTGACAAAACAGTTACTAAGGGATGAATGATGATTAAGGCTGGACTGTTATGGCTGTTCTTGTGATTAAAAGGTATCAAAAATTGACCTTTCAGAAATGTGAAATAAAGCTGACACTAGACTGTTATACTTCATGATAGAGTCCGTATTTTATTCAACTTTGTATCTCTAAAGATATAACTCATGTCACTACATAGAATAGGTACTCGAATAATTAATGCTTTGCTGAAGAGAACATACAAAAGTACCATATGAAAAAACAAAATGCAACAGCAGAATGAAAAGGAAAGCAGCATTAATCAAAATATTTTCTAAAAGAATCTTTAAGAAAAGTAAAGAGGCACTTGACATTCATCATAGAACTGAAGTCATTCAGTGCAGGATTCTTTTTCTTATAGATGTTAAAAACATTTCAAGATTTTTTTTTTTTTTTAATTCAGGGTAGAGGGTGCCACCAAATCCTTTACAAATCTATTAACTATGGGTCTTCTCACTGGAGAAGAAACAGACGTCCATACATGCCCATAAACCCACAGGTTTGCATGTACTTTTGAGAGTTATAGTCTCCAGGTTAAAAATTCCTGTTAAGGAAGCAGTATGTCACTTTATAATGGTCACAGATGTAAGTATATAAAGTTTCCCTTTTACAAGATGGATCATGTGGGAATTTATCAAAAGCAAATCTGAAGCTAATTTATTAAACGTCTCAATCTTTATCAGTATCTTGGTTTGAATTTGATGACAATGTGAAATGATACTTTATTTTATGTGCTGAGTAATTTCTTCTATGCTTTTGTGTAAAATTAATTAATACTATGATTTGCAGACTTAAACAACTAAAATGAAATATTAGGCAAAAACATGAGGCTTAATTACAAAGTGAGTTAAAAGATCACCTTCATCCACTCTAGGTGGAAACTGAGAAGTTGAAGTCTAATTGCTCAAGGAGCACTTTCTTGACTCTCTGCTGTGCCTGGAAGGAAGCAGGCAGGAAGACAGATACTACCTGGGGTCCTGGCAGGACTGGGCAAACTACTTGACAGCCTTTCTACAGAGGCATGAATGAGAAAAGACAGAGAGAACAACCTGGAAAGAAGCCTTGTTTGACAAGTACAAAGAAGTGAATAACAGGAGCTAACTATCTGCTGTGACTTTGTAAGAAGATCCAGATGATGAAAGGCTTACAGTGAAGGCTGGAGAAAACTACCCGCTACTAAGCATCATTACAAGCAGCCAAAGTTTGTTAACAAAGCCCAGGAGCCTTAGGCCCAAGGAGACATAAATTAATATTGGGCTTTAAGAGCAAAACTGAAATCCATAATTAAATTAGGCTCTGATTAAAGGCTGGTGGTTAATAAATCTATGCTATTTTATTGATACCTTCTAAATTGACTATTTTCTTACAATGTCATTAAAAAGCTTTTATATCTATGCTGAATTTTACAATAATAACTCAAAAATTAACTGGCTGTTTCTGCACCCAGTTAACCAAAGCTAAGAATACCTACAAAAAGATTCAGTTTACCTCACTATACCTCGGGATAAAGCCATTTAATCATTGCAATTATATTTAATAGAAAGCAAACAGATTTTATATAGAGAAGTAATCTTGAAAATTCCAACCCAATATGACAATAATATCAGCTCCTAATAAGGTATTTTATTATTAAGTCAGCTTAATTTTGGTATTCACATCACCCCTTTTGTTTTTTCTTTACAAACTGAATCATACTTTTTATCACAATTGCTTTTTCAAATCTGAAGAGGTCTGACTTTCCCTTTCTTCACAGGTGCTTCATTTAGGCAGAATTCATGTTTTCTGAATCAGCATTTGCCCAGTGCTCAGAACTAAGTTGAGTTTCTTTGCTTCATCAGTTTAAAAACTATTTCAAAAAATTTTCTATTATCAAAAACATCACATTATGTCCCAATAAAGTACTCCACTGTCTACTATGATTAACCCAAGTTACCTATTACAACTTATGTGACCTAATTTTAGAAGACATCCAATCTCTTCCACCTTACTCTCATCTGGTCAGGTACCTAATAATACAGTCTTATTATCACACTTCAATATTAAACAATGAAATTTCCAAACAGACACAACACAGAATTACTGTTGTTCAGGAAAAATGTGGAACTACGTTTACTTCTCACACACAATGTTTATGCCATATTCAAGTTTCTGATGACTCAACTATGTAAGTTGAATATCTGTTTTTGAGGCATTTCCTGGTATACTAGGCAGTGCATTAGAAAAGAGATTATATTGCATTTAGGCTATAATAATTATCTTTTAACCATCTATGTATAATTAACAAGCATTCAAAAAAAGTGCAAATGTGCAAATGAGAACACAACAGTTTCTATATATGCAATGCATAATAAAGGATATAAATCTAGACAACATCCTTCTAAGAATTAAATGACACCATCAATTTTGATTTATATGTATTCTTTCTTCTCAAGTATTCAAAAAATGCAACAGACATTATTTTCTTAATTTCTAAATTTTTCAGAAGAATATTACTTTTTTTCACAAATCAGAAAACAAGGATCTACCATTACCTTTGTATATTTTTAATAATAGAGCCAAAATAAGAACAATTCTAGCTAATCTCATCTGGGATCTTAATTAGTACTACAAGTTTATTTCTTTAAGTTAAAAAGAGCATCACTTATGAGAAACAATGCCAAAATTATTATGCTAATAAATTTCGTTAAAGGCCTAATGAAATACTTTAGCAGCTATGAAGTAACACACTAGTTGTAGGCATGAGGAACGTTTATATTGGCTCTTTTGGGTGTATACATTAAATGCAAAATCAGAAAGGAATCATGCAAAAATCCGGTTGCCCATGCAAGCACCCCAGAGTCTAATCCTCTCCTTTCAGTTCTGCTGTCAGGCCACAGTAGTGTGGAGACTTGTAGGCTGCTGTCCTTGTTGTAATGAATGGGAAGAGGCTGACAGTGGCATGGTCGAAACCTTCACCTCTTCTTCCCCTGTGGAAAAGTCAGTCATGGTCTAGTTATGGGTGACTAGATTTATTAACAGTCCCTTTTAAAATGATTTCAATATTTGGAATACTGATACATATATAAAATACATGCATAATGTTTGGAATCTGGGTGTGAAACAAGACATGAATTTTAGAATATAAACTTAGCAAGAACCTAGAAAGTAGTTACACTCTATACACACCCTTAATTTTAATACTATGTCAGAGATAAGAACAAATATATATAGATTTAGGTAACAGATACACTTAAAAAAAACAGGAAAGTATTCTTTGCCAAGCCAATTGGATTCCTCAAAGATATTCTTAAAGACAGAGTAGTTTGTGAAAAAAAAAAAATTATTTACAGAAGTGAAAAACTGATTTTTAAAAAAGGAAAAATATAAATCATAAATAATATATTGAGAAAAGAAATATTAACTTAGTAAACTGACATATGGCATCTAAAAATCCAACATGTACTTCTGGAGTGACTGGAAACTGGTCTGATGTAAACAATACAATGAGCCAACTGACTGAGACTGAGACTACTGCTTCCAATCAGAGAACGACTTATGAATAAAATTAATTCTCCTAATTATAAATAATTACTTGACTTTAAGTGACTTGTTTCACATGTGACTCAAAATTCAATCATTGCCATTTAAATTGTTAATATAGAAACAAAGAAAATGTTAAGAAAAAATGCCCTATGGTAAGTAAAATTTGAATTAATAAGAAAAAAAAATCCAATCTTAGCTTTTAAAGTATGAAATAGCAATACTTATAAACTTTTTCAAACCAATTTTAGCACAATGGAACAAAAACATCTTGGCAGAGAGTTCTTTAAAAACAAATCTGCAACTTTACATTTGGAAAGATAGCTTAACTAACAAAATGCAGAAAAGGAGTCTTTCAATTCACCAAACAGGTTATTCCATGATTTTCAGACTTGGCAAAGCTTCTAGGAAACCCATGTACGTAGTAGCAAGGTGTATGTATTAGTTCTTAATGAGACCATGATACTAAAGAGGACCAACAAGAGACTGTTCTGTAACTATAGGCCATATACCAATTTGTCTCATGAACAGATACTGCTGATAAAAAGTGACTTGCAAGTATATGAGAGCAAAAATCAATTACTAAGGGAAGCAAGCCAAGTTAATGCATGTGCCAGTGGTCTCCATTTCCGAAGGAGGGCATCAGTGTTGTAGTGCAAAACCCTTCCCCTTATTGAACTTGAGATCTGGATTTTATAGTAAGCTGCTACTATCTGAATGTGTGACCTATAACATTAAGCATTCTGGAATACAACTTAGCCATTCCTAAGATGAAGGAACTAGACAAGATCGGTGACTTTGTAGAATTAGGTACATGGTTCTAATAGTTAAAGATTTAACTAGCTACTGATCAAAATTTTCCCCTAAGAATATGTATTTCAAAAATTCTTCTAAACTTCGCAAGCCACAAAATGCTGCTAAAAAGATTTCGCCTAATTAAGAAATACTTAACTTTAAACATAAATGTTTTCAATTAGGCAAAGGAAATGGATGCATCATTTCTGTCAAACCTCTGACAACTGTTTTTCCCATGATAGGTTTCAGATACACCAATCTCTAATAATTAACTGAAACAAACCAAAAGCAAAAATTTTAATCCAAATACATAATAAACAGCCGTAATATCTGTATGATATGTAGACTGCTGCCACCTCTGATTTGCTCCTGTAGGTCAATGATCCTATTTTGCTCTATGTATCTAAAGAATAAATACACATGCTTTTCCTAGTGTAGAATGAGTTTGAAATAGTGCCTAAACATATCTGAAACTAGTGGGTCCCACTGAAACAGTTCTCTCCCCATGACTGAAACATTTAAGCTATCATGATAATCACTTGAGGATACAAGTCCAGCCCCTTTCAACAGTTCAACTCAAGTAAGCACAGCTGAGTTACAACTGGGGCCAGAGGAGGCAGATATTATCAAGGTATTAAATTGCTTCAAAGTAAACAAAGTTAAGATATATATAGCTTCCCAGATTATTACTTTCTGTCATTTCTAACAGTTACTGAAAATCCTAAATCATCTGGCTACAATTATACAACTACTCTGCTTTGAGACTTGGCACATTCAGTTTCCTGAGGTGTGCATCAAATATTTATAAGCCATGAGAGGATTCCGGTGTGTCTCTTAATGTCAATTTTAAATATTTTGGCATATTAAAACTAATATTTCTCTAGTCACCAGAGCTTTAAAAATAATCTAATAATAAGCTTTACCACAAGTTACCATTTAAATATCAAGCATGTATGCATAGCCAAAAACTGAAAATCTGAAATAACCAGTTCTCCCCACCTTCACCAAACACAACAATGATTAGGAACCTAAAGTTGGAGACTCAATTTTTATCACCTATGAAAAACTTTAATGTTTTATAGTTGAGTATGTATTAAAGAAAGAAAGCTCACAAAGATAGCACTACAGTTCTACTTTTTTCCATAAAATACTGACGTTAGATGAAGATTTCAAATGACTAACATGAGGACAGCCACACTTACAAAGTGGTGATTTTTCATTACATGTGGCATTTCTACAATATCTACTGGCTTGAAATATTTAGGTAAAAACTGCTTTTCAGTGCTATTGGGCAACATAACTAAGAAGCTGGAAAACAGATCATTTATCAAAGATGGTCATATAAGTTAAATAAAAGTGAAAAGCGAAGACAGCCAAGAACTACAGTCCTGTATCACATCCATGCTCTCTTGCCTCACTCTCAGAATTTCTCTTCTTCCCATCCATTGTACCTATACAACTTAGGAGGCACCTCCTATTTTTAAAAAGCAGTCCTATTGCTTTTTAATGTAATGACATACTAATTCCTGCTTCTACACCTTTATTCAAGAGGTTTCCATCAATCTAAAAGGTCTTTCTTTCCCCTTGCTGCTAACCCAAAGCCAAGGTACAATACAGATCAATTTCTATTTTGAGGGAATTCTGCTTCCCCCAAAGTTACACACTACATGGATGTCTCTCAGATTGCAGCACCCTGTAAACAGTTACCAAGTGCATACATGATTTTTTTCTTTTCAACTATAAAGAACCTTTAAGTAGTATACATACTTTATACTTCTTTTGTATTCCCTGTATAGCTCTTCATAGTTGGGTAAACAAGAACCCAAATATTCATTGTAATTGTTCTAACATTTTATTTTTAAAGTTTAAAACATAAAGGGGAACTTAAACTTTGAATGTTATAATCGATTATGAAATACACTATCAATTAAAATGATTAAAACAAAGTAAAAGAAAACAAATACCCTCTAAAATGCTCTCCTGAGTGAGAGGAAGAAAGAAAAAGAAAGACAGACAGACAGACCAGAAAATGAATACCTAGAGTTTCAGTCAGTATCAAGAAGAAAGAATCGAAAAATGCCGTTCTGAATTACCTACTAACTACCATAATTCAACAGACAAATGTGAATCCCACTGATTAGCAAATCATTACATTAGGTACTATCAAGCTACTGCAAATTAACATCACTCTCTCAAGTATAACTTTACAGTATCAACAGTCACAAATAAAACTCTCTTAACCCAGCTACTTGTCTAGGATATAAAATGCTGTTGGTTCCAAGGGGAATAAAGCCAAAGACTATACAGATCTCTACAAATTTCATCTCTATCATGTGAAAAACAAGAGAATGAATGCCTTGCTGGTAACAGTACACTGTTCCAGTTTTAACATTGTGCTATGCCAGGCCATACCTTAAAGGTCATGACAAGACAAAAATTATCTATATGGATTACGTGACAGATTGAGGGACTATTCTAATGTACTTAAGACAATCAGAAGAGGAATGAACTGTCTTTTTAACATTATCTCTGAAGCCCAAATTAAACAAGAGGACTCTTAACTGAATGATTCCCCGGCATAGAAGGCACTTCATCTAAAACATGCTATGTAGAATTTTAAACCCAAAAGTTCTGAAACCTTCAAGGGTAGCTTTAGTGCAAAGTCAGAAGTGTTCTGGCATCAAACTTATATGGCAAACCAAAAAGTAAAATATTTCTCTCTGAACAATTTCTTTTTCACAGAAAGTATGTGTCTGGGACATATGGTATGGTTCTGAAACATTAATCAGAGTTCTCAATATGACGTCCTTAATAAATATATAGCACAGTTTTGACGTGTGTGTATTCAATCAACATAATGACCAAAAGCAGTTAGAGTGGCTTTATCCCTCATGCTCTCATAGTCATTAAAAATTGTTTTTAACCACTTTACATCTAGAATGTAAAAACCACAATTTTTACCATAGCGTTGGACTTTATAGAACCTCAATTTATGGCCCTTTTCTTCCTACGTTTATATATTATATGAAAGTTCAGTAACGCTATGCTTTTAAGTAAAATGCTTCTAAACAATAACTAGGTATAATACTCCACCATTCCTATAAAGCTCAATATTACAAGGCATCCATCCAATTACTAATTTAAGAAAAATTTTTTTTAGGTTATGATAAAAACTCTTAACTTTTTTTCATAGAAATTTTCAAGCATAACAATAAGTACTCTCTGTTATTTAACAGGTCCCTCCCTACCCACCCAAAAACCTGAAGGTATGAGTTATTCATGAATTCTCGAAGGCTTTAAATGAACCTACCTGCTACAGGGATCCCTCCCAGACCTGTGTTGTGCTGTGGCGGGAGATTCAAGTCCAAGAAATTACTATTTGAGGTGGGGTTTGCTGTGTGGTTCAAGTGCATGATGCTATTGCGTGGAAAGGCCATCCAAGGATAGCGGGCTGCCTGGCCTGGAAAACTGAATGAATTATAAACCGCTCGGTGCTGTTGAAATTGAGGGAACCTCTGTGGCAAGACTGAAAAGGTACTATTTAGAGAGTTGGCATTTGTAGGTGCAGCAGGATGCAGAAATCCAGAGCCTGGGCCTTTGGCGGTTGTAGTGTGTGAAGAGGAGTTCTGGAGAGATGTAGGTGAAAGGGAAGGTTGGTCTTGGACGGATAGTTCCTTCTCAATTAGGTCTGCTAAGGCTTTTCGAGTGACATCAAAGGGGTCAAACCCCAAGTCATCCTCTGGTTGTTTAGAAGAACCAAAGCCAAATGCTGCTTGCCAGTCTGTAGAGGATGATACTGGTATTGTTTCTGTTAGGAAGAAAAACAGCGTATATTATAAAAGAAAAGCTCAGTTATGTGTCACACAACAAAATAAAGTATATCCAAAGTCTGTATGATCTCTTAGAATGTTAAAATCATATAATCACAAGAGACTTCATAAATGTATACTTCTAGTAGTGACGTTTTAAGTTACTAACTTCAAAAACAACTATAGATTGATTTTACTAGTTGGGGGAAAAGTACTTGATACCCAAATTATACTCTCAATCAAAACAACCATAAATCATTTAAGTAAAATAAAGTGACAAAAAGAACAGCTTTAAAAAGCAGAGCATTTTTTAAAATTTTTTTATTTATTTGGAGAATGAGAGAAGAAAAGTGACCTCTCATTCACTAGTTTGCTCTCTAAATCCCACAACAGCCAGCACTGGCCAGGCCAAAGCCAGGCGCCAAGTGTCAATCAGGGACCATCACCTGCTGACTCCCAGGTTACCCAGGGACTCTGATCCAGGATATGGGCTGCCCAAGCAACATCTTAGTCACTATTTCAAACACCCATCCCCACAGCTTACTTTTAAAAAGGTATTTATTAATGGCAAATAAAATTAATTTAACATATACTTTACAAATTGCAAAGAAAAATGTAATCTAATGAAAAAAGTACTACATGAAATCCTTACAGTTTCTGGTCTGTTCTATAGGTGCTGTTCTCAATGTTACTTTTATGTCACCTTTACATTAATAAGTGTTGCTCCCCCTCTTCGTGGAGGAACGACACAGGACCCTGCGCTGTTCTTTTGTCTGCTCGGCCCTCCCCGGGTTTGCTGCTGGTTCTTCCCGGGTTGGCTACCGACCCTTCCACCTCCGTGGAAGGGCGGTTCCCCCTGCCACCTTCCCCACTTCTGCGGGGGAGCGGCACACCGCCGGCCGGCTCTCTCGGGGGCTGCACAGGTGTTCCTTCAGATAGATGTTCCTGGTGCATGTTGTCTCTCTCCTCCTTTATAGTCCTCTTCCACCAATCCCAACTCTGCTACCCACACACTGAGTACGCTGCTCTCCTCCAATCAGGAGTAAGATCAGCTCCTGCAGCTCAGTCAATCAAATTGGCGAGAGGCAGCTGCGTAAAAGTTGTTACTCCCTTCTCAGCGCCATATTGTGGGAGAGCAGATGCATAGAATAAGTCTTAATTCCAGTAACTTAGTCTAGTCCGAGTTGCTCCCCACAATAAGGTAACATAATGAGCAAATGTGAAATGGTCCAAAAAATGTCAAAACATAATTTTTACTGTTATATAACTTATCTCTTTCTGTTGGGGGTAAAAAAAATCTCAAATTTAACTACAGAAACACAATTCTAATTAAAAAGGTAAGACAATATTTCCCAGAAGGACAAGCTTTTCATTACTGAAGAAATGATATCACTCTCCAGAAAAATCTTTAACACACAATTTCAAGGTCATGCAACAATTTACCTAACTTTCTAATTCATGCAATTTAAATATTTAATTTTCATAAAAACAGAGTGGATAAAGTATGAAAATATATCCAGAACAATGGGTTTCATGTCAGTCTATTAATACCAATTCTTGGTACTGCTGTTATATACCTGATGTGAAGAGACTCTGTGGTTCTGGTGCTGTCGGCCAGTCACTAGATGTCTGTGGAGAGCTGGGGAAAGGAGGAAGCCCACTTGGAATAGGGTTGGGATGGCGAAAATTGTCTGAAAACAATGACTGTGACTCTGTTACTGCCCCTTCAAAAGGGGAACGTGCACTGTGATTTGATGAACTGATGGGGATGACTGGATTGGGTTTTGATAACCCAGGTGGTGGTGAAGGCGTATCACTGTTAGATATCTAAATAAAAAAGGCAAAGAAAATAATCAATACAAATGTATTTATTTTAATAAGCCATAATTAAGAAGATCTATAACTAAGTGTTTTAAAATAGTGGTCTTCAAATCAGAGTTCTCGAAAATTTTCTCATGAAAGCACAGAGTTTCAGAAAACCAGTTAAACCATTAACACAATTATTCTTTTTGAAAAACTAATCTGTCTGAAAACACTAGTCTCCCCCCCCTTACAATATTGAGCCTCTCACTCTACAAATATTTCACAGTCTGAGATTTTACTATATTTTGCTCAATAGTGAAAACTTGCAGTGACCAAATTATCAGAAATACTGGGATTGATGATAGAGTGGAATGACTCTAAAAACTAGATTCTTTTGCAAACTAGGTTAATTCCCAGTTTTTTAGTTTTCAATAACAATAATGGAAGTTCTAACCAACTTGTTCCCAAACACATTAAGAAATAATCTTATGATAACTCTTTGTGATTCTAAGGTATGTAATTCAGATAGAATCCAAAGATTTCAGTGTTACTACTTGTTAGGAAGAGAGGTCAGATTGGTGCCTCCACATGAAATGTAAGGGGCACCACACAGGGCCCCAAATGTAAGGAAAAGATGTACAGAACAGAGAGGAGACAGAATACAAACTAGCAGCCAGACTGAATTTATTCAGAGACAATAAGTCTGCAGAGGTCGACCAACTGCCATCGTGTTCACAGACCAAACACGTGGCACAGACCTCGACCCCAGCAGGCTAGGCCCTTGGGTGGGCTGGGGTGGGGAAGCAGTAGGTGGAGATGAGCTTCTCCATACTGGTTCTTCAGGTTTGGCCCACTGGCTTCCAAACCTGGGGAACAAAACAGGGGATGGGGTGGGGAACAATACAGGGTGTGAGACAGAACTGGTCCCTTGAAAGAAGACAGGGGTAACAAGAAAACTAAAATGGCTGAGGTTTATGTCCTTGTTCCATCACTGACATACTACTACTCATTCTTCCATCTACTTATTTTTTAAGAATAAGATGCCATAGCATTTACATTTTAAAAAAGTGATGGCTGATCAAACTTGCCTCACTTTACCAATAGGTAATATTTATCTAGAGACACATGAAAGCTAATTTTAAAATGGCCCTGTCCATATTAAGGGATGAATTTCCAATACAATTTAAATATGTTTAATGCTCAAATTCTGTCAAAATTTATATGTATACTTGTACATATTGTTTTGATCAACTTCACACTCATAGAAGTTCAGAAAAAATATAATTTAAAACCTAATGACATCAAAAACATTTTTATTTCAACTTAAAAGTTATATTCCTATTTTTATTTGAGAGATGTATACGCTTTTGAAGCAAAAACTATGTTGCATCAAGATAAAACTATATAATGGTAATAGAAATACAAAAATACATTCAAAAAGGAAAAGAAAGTACAATTTATGATTATTAAAGAGCTTGTGTATTTTTATAAAATGAATGACATAGTATCAAAACATGATGGGTTATCAAAACCTAAATTTCTTGGATACTTATTACAGAGTATTATACCACTTTTATTTAAACATAATACATATGCTGGAAATTACATTCTTAGTAACTACTTTTGACTTATGAAAAAAATTGTAATGTCATCTAAAATATGCAAGGGGAGATATAAATTTTCTACTTTTATGGAATTTGTGAGTTAAAAGTTTAGAAAAGTACTATATTTTAGATGCCTAAGTTTTTTTGTTTTTTGTTTTGTTTTGTTTTTGACAGGCAGAGTGGACAGTGAGAAAGACAGAAAGATCTTCCTTTACCGTTGGTTCACCATCCAATGGCTGCTGCGGCCGGCGCACCGCGCTGATCCGATGGCAGGAGCCAGGTGCTTCTCCTGGTCTCCCATGGGGTGCAGGGGCCAAGCACTTGGGCCATCCTCTACTGCACTCTCTGGCTACAGCAGAGAGCTGGACTGGAAGAGGGGCAACCGGGACAGAATCCGCCGCCCCGACCGGGACTAGAACCCAGTGTGTCGGCGCCACAAGGCGGAGGATTAGCCTAGTGAGCCGCGGCGCCGGACAGATGCCTAAGTTTTTAACACATAATACAGGAGACTGGCCATTCTTTATGGAAGATATTATAACTATATTGATTTTACTTAGGTTAAAAAATATATATAAATAATATATAAATAATAAATAAATAAATAAATATATATATATATATAAAAACTAAGCAGTGAAAAACTACCAGAAAAAAGATCCATGGGCAACAAGACAAAATGACAAACCATGTTTTGAAGATCAGTACCTAACTTAATTTCAGAGTATATACATACAACTTTGAGTAGCTTATCTTATTTATCTCAAAGCTGTCAGTCACTTGGAAGAACTAAGCAGGAAAGCTGCTAGGGACAAATACACTAACTCAGAGAGAAAACTGAAGTTGGAAAGGGACAAGAAGAGTAAATGGTGTAAAAACAAGTTAGCCTGGGATCATTTGTTGTAGGGTCAAAAAGACCAGTAACAGCAGCAGACTCTAAGGACACTTTACAACAGTAAATGGGCCGACCCCGTGGCTCACTAGGCTAATCCTCCGCCTAGCGGCGCCGGCACACTGGGTTCTAGTCCCGGTCGGGGCACTGGATTCTGTCTCGGTTGCCCCCCTTCCAGGCCAGCTCTCTGCTGTGGCCCGGGAGTGCAGTGGAGGATGGCCCAAGTGCTTGGGCCCTGCACCCCATGGGAGACCAGGAGAAGCACCTAGCTCCTGGCTCCTGCCTTCGGATAGGCGCAGTGCGCCAGCCGCGGCAGCCATTGGAGGGTGAACCAACGGCAAAAAAAAGGAAGACCTTTCTCTCTCTCTCACTGTCCACTCTGCCTGTAAAAAAAATAAAAATAAAAAAATAAATAATGTATGGTCACAATGATTAAAGGGGGGAGGATGTGCAATGTATTCTGTGCTGGAAAAGAAAGCCCATTAAAATACATTTATCAAAAATGTCCATCAAAAGTATTTCTACATTTTGTCAGTGTTTACAGTATTTGCAGAAAATTCACTTTGATAGAATACCTTGTTTGGGAACTATGGAAGAGAAATAAAGCAATACCTTCTTCAAATCTTACCTGCTGGGAATTATCACCATTCCCTATACTGAGAGAATCTGAAGGTTTGTCAATGGGGCTGTAAAAAAACAAAAACAAAAACAAAAACAAATCCAATAAAATCACAGTAAAGGCATTCTCCTACAATAAAAAAAAATCCACTACAAGCCAGAAAAAATAACATTTTGCCATCTTAACAAATGTTTATTGAAGCATTGCGACATAACACATTAATTAAGTTATTGAGAACATAAGAAGATCTCCTCCCATGATCTGTCTCCTAAAAAACTTACATTCTAACTAAAAAAATTTACAACTTAATTGAGAGGCAAAGAGAGAAAAAGACAAAGAGGGAAAGCACCCATCAGCTGGTTCAATTCCCATATGTTCAAAAACGCTGGGGCTAAGTCAGGGTCAAGGCCAAAGCCAGAAGCTAGGAATTTGATCTAGGTCCACCACATGGGGGCAAAAATCCAGTTACCTTAGCAATCATTTCTGATTCCTAGGGTTGGCAATGGCAGAGGTTGGAGTCAAAGCCAGAGCCGGGTATCAAACCCAGTTACTCCAAAATGTGTGATGTAGACATCAAACTACTAGACTAAATGTCTGCTCCTTTACATTCTGATTCTCCAAAAATTATGTATGAAATAATAGCTCAGGTAAACTAAAGTACATCTTAAAACAGGTAATACTCCAACTAACAGGTCAAAAATCTAATCCATTATCAAGCTTTGTGCATGTGATAAACATAGTCCCCTTTATAGTTTCTGAAATAGTGCTGAACCATTTTTCCAGGTATTTGGCAGACTGGCATAAAAGTCATTGAAATGTTTTCTACAGGTTTTTAAGAACAATAAATTTATTTTCATATTTCTATTACTAACAACCTTACAGAAGGCATGTGTGTATGTACACATACACATGTTACACAAGTAAAAAAATTTTTGTGAACTGTGGACTAACAAACATTATCAGTTCATTTTCATATAGAGAAAATGCAGTACCATAGTAAAGTAGAAAAAAAATGCTACCTTTCAAGTCCATTTTAACACATCTGACTTAAAGATAAAAGCTTTGTATTATAATATTGATCTGTTAACATCATTTTTATAACAAACTTTAACTTATGAACAAACACAATTACACAATGTGTTGCTCTGATACAACATTATGGCACATACAAAAATGAAGACTCCCAGTACCTCAAAATTATTCAATTCTATGGAAATATATATAAAAATATATAACTTCATCTTTGAAAAAGTAACTTACTGTTACCACATTTAATTGCTCTAAAAAAAACTTTAACAAGGGCAAGTACTGAAATCTGAATCCCAGGTTTATCCCAGGCAGAGAAACTGCCAGATGCTCTTATCCAAGCAGAGATTTGAAATTTACTTAAAAGTATCATATTATTCATAAAGTATCAATGAATATTAGGTCATGTGGGTAATGCGAATAATTTTAGGCTGTAGCTCTGAGCCCATTAAATTTAGAGATATTTGGGTGAATAAGGCAAGTGCACACTAAACATCAGCCACTGTCAGCTGTCAAAAGAACTGCTTCAATAAGTGCTGAAGTCTTTAGAATAAAGTGAATATACCACAAGTGGGGCAATTAGGGAAAAATTCCTAAGGGAGTTCACATGTAGTGGTCTTTACATATTGGAACAAGGAAGAGAAAAAGTGAAAGAAGTATATGTGTTAAGAGTCAGAGGTCACAGATAGGGAGAGTTAACTAATTGGTTATCAATTTAGCTAACAAATAGGATGGTGTGCATAACAATGGGAGGTAAGGATATAAAGGAATTAGAGGTTAGAGCTGAGAGGAACATGTAAGAACAGAAACCAAAGGATGAAAGCAAGAGACCTACAAACCAGAATGCCAGATGTCCGGGTCTTGGTTCATCTCTGCAGCTACCACCATTAAAGAGCACTCAGTAATAACTTTCAACTTGAGGTCAGTCTTTAAATATTTAATACTGAGTGGGTAATATTTAAAATATTATGGGATAAAGGATAAATCTTACTACGTTTCTGGATTGTAACTAATTAGAATAATTTATATCCTCTTGTCCATCTCCCCAGTTGGTTTCATAACACTGATTTCTAACAACTTATGCTTTACCTGGGAAAGTTTCACAAAAATATTTAAAAATTTCTAGATCAGAGTCATTAAACCAAAAACAGTTGGTAAAAAAAAAAAAAAATCGACATACCAGTAAGCTTATATTCTACTCAGTTTTGTATTTATTCTGAATTTATTTAATAATAATTAACAAATTCAAGGAATATGAAAAGCTTAATGAAGATGAAAGTAAAGATATTTTATATGTGGGCTGTAAGAAGTCAATTATACTTAAATTTGACATTATAAATGCATCTATTAGTGGAAAAGCAGAAAACAAGGCAGATTCCCTGCAGATACATATGTAACTCCAAGAGAAATAAAAAGCATATTTACAAATTCCAATAAAATGTGAACTCCTTAGATCTTTAATGGTTATATGGAGAGAGATATCAGAGACTATTACTAACAAGTCCAAGTTCTCACAATTCAGCTAGCATCAGATGCAGAATGTCCTCATTAAGCTCTGTGTTTGCTTAAGCTGTAATCATATTAAAGATTTGTCTCAACATATACCCACCCATTTCCATACTAAAAGAAAAAACCAGGAAGATAAGCTTTAATAAATAAATACTATTTTATTAATGAAAAAAGACACCTACTCCACGAAAGAGGCTGCTCTCTGGTTGAGAACCACCAGTGCCAATGTCATCAGACCTAAGAAATAAACCTACAGACTTTGTTAATTCAATGTCTTCTGCCACACTGAAAACACAACCTGCATTGGAAGCATAAATTTCAGTGGAAAGACTTCTGTTCACCAATCAACTGCTCATGAATCCAGAGTTGCCCAGTGAGGAAAGAAGCTTAGAAAGGTCTTTGAAAAGTTGAAGATAGTTTGGTTCAACTTTAGAATAGAAGCCAAAGCAGATAATATAAACTGAACGAAATCAAAGAACGAATGGGGCAAAAACAGATCAACAACTATCTCTGAAAAGGCAGAGTTAGATTTAAGTCCCCCTATATCAATGTTCAAACAACGAAAACAGTCATCATGCTGAGAGAGCAATGAAGACACGGGAGTTCATAAACACCATACAGTTGACTGGAAAGTACTAGATTCAAGGACTAAGAAGCACTGATAAATAGGTAGGCCTCATAATACAAATATGATATCCAGGAGGCAATGTACGTGTAAATCCCTGTAGATAAAAATCTATAAAAACTTATTTTTGTAGAAGAGTCTCAATAATTTTCTTCGTTACTCCTGAACTGTTCTGAAACTGATGATGCTAATGACAGATTTCTTACATCTCTTTGAACCTAAATAGTTAGAATCAAGTGCTATGGAGTGCTGCAAGAAACAAACATATGTGCATTTATATATTTATTAAGAACATAAAGTATATATTCAGACTCCATCCCTAGGCATTCGGATTCATTCGGTCTAAATCAAAATACCTGCTATCTGATTATCACTGCAATTGATGAAGAGGAACAGTAATAGGCATTAAGTCTCCTCAAAATATCTCAAATTAATAATTTCAGAGTTAGAAGGAATCATTAAAATTAAACATAAATTCTGTTTTACAGATGGAAAAACAAAGTTCAAAACCATGTGCAAAGGTGGGAAGAATCACCATGTTCCTGAAGCTGTAATTATGAAGTATGTAAAATATGTAACTGTAAAACTGTATAGTTCTGCATATATTCCTACATACTTTTTTTTTTTTTTTGACAGGCAGAGTGGACAGTGAGAGAGAGAGAGAGAGAGAGAGAAAGGTCTTCCTTTTCCATGGGTTCACCCCTCAATGGCCAATGCAGCCAGTGTGCTGCGGCCAGCGCACCGCGCTGATCCGAAGCCAGGAGCCAGGTGCCTCTCCTGGTCTCCCATGTGGGTGCAGGGCCCAAGCACTTGGGCCATCCTCCACTGCACTCCCTGGCTACAGCAGAGAGCTGGACTGGAAGAGGAGCAACCGGGACAGAATCCGGCACCCCAACTGGGACTAGAACCCGGTGTGCCGGTGCCGCAGGCGGAGGATTAGCCTATTGAGCCCTGGTGCTGGCCGTACAGACTTACTTCTAAAGCTACAGTTTAAAAACTTGCCATGGGACCCTAAATCCCCTTAAGCTGGGTCGTAAAAATACCATTTTAAGTGCTTCAGTGATCATATGGATGAGATTAAGTGTCTCTTAATAATAACAGAATTAAAAAGGAGTAAATGCTCCAACATGGGAAGCAGTCCACACAGCAGACTCACAGAATGACAATCGCTTTAAGCAGCACTCTGATCTCAGAATCGGCCCTTAAGGCATTCTGGTCTGGCTGAAAAACCCATGAGAGCATTTCAGGCATGGAAAGCCAAGACACTGTGGCAAAAAATGTTCTACACGAAGGACCTCAAGTGAGTGAGACACCAGTGGAAAGAAGTGGTCATCAAAGAAGGAGGTACTTTTCTCTGAAAGGAGGAGAGAACTTTTACTTTGCTTATGGCTTTGTCTAAACACTGACAGAGTTTGTGGATTCAACAGGCTTCCATAACCTAGGCAGCTCATGTCAAGAGCCTCAGGTGATCATTTACATCATACATAAGAGTACTAATTCTTAAATTAACAACAGGAGTCACTGTGCACTAACTTCCTATCAGGACCTCTATCTTCAATGAGTTGTATTTAATTATGTCTAAGTGCTAGCAAAAGATGTATCATTCTTGGGTGCTTTTTTAAAGTTAATTAAATTTCTAAAAAAAGAATAAAGTGAAATTAACTTCAAGATTCAGTGACTTTGAATAGCCCTTGTCTTGGCTGTTGAGAACAGTTTTTTGTGTATGTGCAAATTGTTGAACTCTTTACTTAGTATAGAGTTGGACTTCTTGTGTAAGAAGTTCATCAAAAGTGGATCTTAGTGGAGAATAAGAATGGGAATGGAAGAGGAAGGAGGAGGGGTGGGAGGACAGATATGGTGGGAAGAATCACTATATTCCTAAAGTTATACTTATGAAATGCATCAAG